AAGAAAAAGAAGATAGTCGAAAGAGGAGGAGGAGAGAAGAAGAAGAGGAAGAAGAAGAAGAAGAAGAAGAAGAAGAAGAAGAAGAAGAAGAAGATGATGAGAGGGGGGCGAGCGACGGGTGACTCCACGACGCTGGCGACGGGCGACGGGCGACGGGCAACGGGCGACTCCACGACAACGGGGGAGTGCAGCTCCCAGGCGATGGTGACAACGGGCAGTGCGAGGAGCGAGGGCGGCTGAACCACGAACGCAGGCAGCTGGAGAAGGGGCCCCACTTGGACAGCCGATGCAGGCCGCCCCAGCCAGTCGGTTGTTCAAACGGGGCCTTGATTTTCCCTCCAAAAAACAAACGGCCCTCTGGCCGTCGATCATGGATGATCGACGGCCGGAGGGCCGTCACAAATTCAAAAAAAAAAACTGGCCTCACGGGCCCGACGCGCCGTTTTTTGGGCCTGGTCGGACCCGGTAGGCCCTGGGGAGGCCAGAACTTGGCGATTCGGGGTCGGAAACCCACCCCCAACAAGGTGTGCTGGGGGTGCCCGGCCCTCAACCGGGCTGCCCGCCCGGCCAGGCCGCCCGGGACCTCCCCCGGGCAGGCGCTGGTCGGTCGGGCGGCCCGGATCCGTACACAGATAAAAAGGACTGAATGGACAATATAGTGCTAGTGAAATCTCAACCAGCAGTATACATCCTGATACATACAAAAATGATGCTTTATAGCGCAGTGGAAGACTTAGATACAAGTCCTGACCTGACTGGGACTGACCTCTCTCACGTAGTACAAGACAACACAGCAGAATGCTAGAATACCAATGACGAGCCCAATCAATGTTGCAATGCAGACTAAACATACATCATCCTCATCACACGGTGTGAAGGGCGGCTTGGCGCTACACACAGGAAGAATGCGCCAGGTCCAAATCATGCACAGACGAAGAGGAGGGAAACAGACGAAGAAGAGGAGGGGGGAGATGGGAAAATCGTCAACACCAAGTCTTCATTACAAGTCCCAAATAATCCCTTGTCAAAATGTCTCAAGACTCTGAAGCCCAATGTCGAGTCTGGACTCAAATGTCACCAATCTCTCTCTCTTTCGTAGTCTGCTGATGCAGTGAAGTCAGGTAGCGAGAGGGTGAGAGGGAGATGGTGGACTGAGAAGAGGAAGAAGGAGAACTCTCTCTCTCTCTCTCACTTGCCAGGTACTAACCTGTGAAGATGGCGCTGTGCTGCAGGTACCTCGAAGACGAAGCTGGAGCTATGGCGCTGCAGGTAAGTCTCCCTGGCCTCCGCCCAATCTCTCTCTCTCTCTCCAGTACTACTCTAGCTCCTACTAGCGCCCCACGCTGAAGACTGTTGCTAACGCTACTAGCGCCCAGCGCTGAAGACTACTGCTAGCGCTACTACTACTCCTGCAGTGCTCCTCCAGAGTGTTGCTGCCGAATCCTGAAGACTACCTCCTGCCTCCTGAACTGTACGTGAAGTGCATGGGAAGTACCTACGAACTACCTCCAGCCTGCAGGGCAGGCCAGTCCTATTTAGTGCTGGCCCGTCCAAGAGGCTGCTCTTGCCAATGCCGAAACGTGCCAGACCCTGGCGTTGAAGCTCAACCAAGGGTTGTCTTGAAAACAGGCCCAAAATGGCCTGTGCTAAAACCCTCGTTTGGTGCCTGAGTTTGAGGGTAGGTCGATCTCACGAGGGCCTGAAAATGGCCCTCCGTTTCAGGCTGAAAAGACTCAGGGCCAGAAAGACCCTGTTTTAGGCTGAAACGACACAGGGCCTGTAGGCCCTTGTTTTCAGGCTTTCAAGCTGCGACGACACGGGGCCTGTAGGCCGTTGTTTTCAGGCTTTCGGTCTGAAAACGACACGGGCCTGAAAGTGGCCCATGCAGTCTGTTGCAGGCGCAGCATGCAACACACACACACACGCACACACAC